AGCCCGAGTGTTCTTAATCGACTTGTTCTTTTATGTGGGTTTTTACTGTACATCATTAAGTTTAAGCCCAGAAAATTTTGATTAATTTGCGAATTATTGAGTATTATATTAATTTGCCAATGTAAACAACATTCTTACTCAGAACTATTTAATAATTTTATTTGATTTTCCCCAATGAAACATGTACAAGAGTGAATTCAAATCAATTTAGAATTAAAAATAATATTGTTAACRATGGCAATAATTTGCAAACTTGGTCCATTATTAATTAGATTGATTTTTTTCACTGGCACAAGTCAAATCTAACGTACCAGCTGAGTATTTATGACTGACGGCAACAGAAAGACATCTAGTAAGCTACGAGTTTGCATGTTATTGGGATATTGCTATAAAATGAGATCTTGCCATGAATTCTTTCTTGAAGCTTATGTCTTGTCTAAAATAATTAACCTAGTGTGAAGCCTCTGAACTTGTTTTAGTAATCTCTAGTATCCAACAGTCTTCTAAGATCACAGTAAGACGATCAAGAAAAAACTTGTTCCACGACCTGCCCTGCCATTCAAGWGGAGTTTGAAGTCAATATACACAGAAATGCAGCTTTTTGACTAGCAAACCAGGAGAGCAAGCATGATCTAATGGTTTTWGTATAAACAAACTAGTTGGATATCAACAAAAAAATAATGAACACAAGTAAGGCAAAAGTGACTGTTTTAATGTTTTTCCCTAATTGCTTGGTCCATTAATAACATTCTACACCTACGTAGCCCATCAGAATTTATTATTTGTAATAGTCCACTAGTTTGTTTAGGCTTATAGGTAATGGTTTCTGCATTAATGGGTCATCCATTCTGAACAACAAGTATGAATACTTTGTAGGATGCAAATGCRATAAAAAATGTCAATCAAAATAATTTACATACAAATGACTGGCAAGCTAGAAAAASCTAGGATCAGATTGAAGGATTCTTTATGATGGATGATTCCTTAAAAATCATCCATTAACCCAGCTCGATACCTTTAACTGTCTTTTCATTACTGGTGTCTGTAATATTTATAAACTGCAATTTGGATGGTCTGTAATCATTAGCAATGAGAATTCCCWTTCAATGTTCTAGAAGATGATTAATTGTTTACCCATTAATGCAGTTATCACTGCCTACACTAGACAAGTTTCAACACTGAAAATAAGTGGAACAATGACTGCTAAAATAATTTCATGGCCTCCAACAAGGAGGAGTGCATTTCCAGGATTCTAGTACTGAGAGAAATACTTCTGCTCAAGGACATTAATTAGTTAGATAATWATTATTATTCTTGCACTAAAAAGATTTAAGAATGAGAACATTTTGTATAGTTGTTTAAATCATAGAGAGACTATACAAAAGCAAAATAAAAGCATMATACAGATGAGTGAAGTCAACTTCTTGTCATGCTTCCTTCTGACTCATATAAATAGGTTTTGGCATAATTTTTAAAAGGAAAAATTAAGGTGGCAGTGAACAGCCTTTACTGTCCTCAGTTACTATGGTGACCAGCACATAGTGACATACACATGTAACACTTCCACCTATGTCGAAAGTTATACGTATCCTGGAAGTCACGGTAATAACTTAGGTGTGTACTTATCACTAGCCAGTTTTAACAGCATCACATTAGTTCAAGATTGACGCTGTCATAGCACAATCAAAGTATTCTACAAGTCTTCACTGCCATYGCAATGGTGGCATTAATATAATATCGTTAACTGTTGAGCTAGCTTACAGCTTATATACTACAATAATCTTTTTTTCTCTTTCACCATTAAAAGGTCCTAATGGCAAATAAAAGTTAAGAAAATGGTTAAGATTATAACAATGACTAGTTAGAAGGTGGCGGCATGTCTTTTCTTGGAGGCATSCGTTCATTGACACGATCAAGACCTTTGGCTTCTTCAAAATCACAAATTTTATGTTTGGGATCTACTCCTGCCAAAGCTGGAAGGAAAATCAAGAAAACAAATTAATAATTGTAAATTAGATTAAGAACATGAATTGTTATCATTTTTATTAAGTTATATATGCTAACATACTAAAACCCTGTTGCCATGTTTCTGGTCAAAATGACCAGCAAGGCAAACAATTGACTGGACTGGACAGGCTCCAATGGACCCTTCTCAACATTATCTTGACAGGGGATGATACAGGATTTTGTCCAGAGAGGGGTGCTGCGCACAAAGTTAACCCAGGGAGGGGTGCACCCCTTAATATCAAAGGGKAAAAACAGTATTGGTTATCTTTGGAGTAGGGGCACAAAGTCAAACCAAGGAGGGGTGCGCACCCCCTACACCCCTCCCCKGGATCCGCCCCTGCTTGAATGCAAGGCTAACATGGAAATACAAAAGAAATGTCACAAATTCCATCAAGAAAAAGTGTGATTTCKTTTGTGTTCACATATTAGCCTTGTAGATACTTTAGAGAATGGTGCATTCTGGCCTACTAAAGTAAATGCAGCACTGTGCATTGTTGCTGTAACTAAAAAGAAAATAGTAATCAACTCACCTGCTTTGACTTCTGTTTTTCCGCCAGACAATAACCCTACTGGTAAATGACCTGTTGGAGTCAAGCCTTTGAGCTGTAAAATGCTTTCACTCTCTTCCCTAAAAGCATTACAAAAAAAATTACAATGTTAGAATCAACATAAGTAAGAAAAGAATCTAGAACCCTGAATACTGGTTTGCAATTAATATTATAATTACACCACCATGAGATAGACATTCAATATTCTATATGCAAAACTCTCAATTTGAATGTTGATTTCTATAGAGGGTGAAAGCCCGGGGGCTGGGGAATTGTTGAGGTTAAAGGAGAGAATAGCACAGCAATGAAAATATTTTCACATGAGGGTGCCGTAAGTTAGATAACTCACTGGGTTATTGGTTCACCCTCTTTAATTAAAGTTTATTGTACCATATTGTATGCTGTGTCTGAAAGAATATGTGACCTAAACCACAGGATTTACAGAGTGAAAGGCTTTGCTTTGTCACCCAAACTGTGACCTCATTGCAGCAGGTAAGGAAAGACTATTTATTGTTTATTATAACGTCATTTTACCTGAGTACAGTGAATACTCTAGCCATCTTGCCAATGGCCCGTATCTTGCTTCGKATGATTTCTTTTCTTTTGATTGATTCGCTCTTGTCTATGTCTTCCTCGCCGTCTTCTAATTCTTCGTCAGTGCAAATACTCAGGATGTTGACAAGCATTTCAGTAACTGGAAAAAWTGATTTAGAACATCTTTATTAGCAAAAAAATCTTTGATCCTGATAATTAAAAATAAATACTTTGCCCCTGTCTGAAAAGCAAAATATACTAATTATAYAATATTTACAATCCAAGAGAATAGATCTTTCTTCAAAAAGCTGAAAATTAAGACAAAAATCCTCTAATAGTTTATACCCAACAACTTAATCTGAAGTACCTGACAATGGAATTTCACTCTCAAGAAAAATTATTGTTTTGTCCTCGAAAATGACAGGTCTACAATGGGAGTTGCTCAAAGGAATGTGTTGGGAACATTTTGTAAAATATACTTTTGCCCAACACTGAAATTTTAAAGAGCTACGGATAAATTATGTTGTCAGGGCTACAGTATGTTGGCTTGGCYAGCTAGCTCAAAATAGAATACACATGACATGTGCTGCCCTTGGAAGTGCACTTACGRCATTATGGATATTGATAACCAATACTTGTCATTCTCTTCTAATCRAACAAAAAAAATCTTAAGGCTAATTTTAAGGGTTTTCTCCCCTTCAAATTTGATAAATACCCTCAAAAAAGCTCTGGGCTGATCAAAGTTAAGGTATAGCTTGGGATGATCAAATGTCAGGGCATGGCTAACCCACGGTTCAAATTAGTATTTAGTATGTTGGGCTATCAAAAAATGTACAATATACATGATAATATAGCAGCCCACTCACTCCAGATGATCAACATCAAATACATTTATTAGCTCACCTTTCTCGCCAACAAAAGGTAAAGACCATGAAAACACATCCATAAAGTTTGGTAGCCAATAAGGATGCGGCGAGCAGTTAAACTGTCTTATGTTCATTACATTGTTTTCATATTTCAGAACCGCAGCTGTAAGAAGGATAAAAGAATACCATAAAATGTAACACAGTTTCTATTTAAACTTATACAGGGTTCCATTAAGTTTTTAGATGATAGCAGCTCAGCTGAATTACCCAGGAAAAAAACATCCTTTTWTCATGAGGGTAGCACTTAATAGCCAGTGGCTAACAAACCTGTGGCACTTATTCCATGATTGAATTGGAATTCAGGAGCTGATTCTTGTGRAGGGAGGAAAACTGGAGAACCCAGAGAAAAACCCTCAAATCACAGCAGAGAACCAATACTAGAACCTCTGCTCACRTACAACACTGAACCCGGCGGGACTTGAACTCAAGCTGCATTGATGAGAGRGGAGCGCTCTCACTGCTACACCACCCATGCTTCCCAGAGATTGCTGGGGACCAATTCGTAATTTACTAAGTTATAAGTGGTAGTATAAACTGCAGAATTTTCCTCATTTACTAGAGCCTTCTTGATCCCCTAACCTTAATGTAACCCTTGAATATGTTATTTTAACATCAATCACAAGAGTGWTTCCCTCATCATGGTCTATGTTCCGATATTTACAAACAATAATGATCAACAATGACATGAAAATGGGTGGGGGACACAGATAACATTTAGATTTGGGGCAACAGGGCTTAAAATAATGGTTGATCTCACTTCTGGCTCAACAGTACTGGTCAAAATGACCAGTAAGACAAAGACTTGACCGGACAAGTCCCAGTTCTGGCCACATTGTCCAATCTCCTGCTGTTATTTCAAGCCCTTGGGCAATGACGTAATGTGCCATGAAATAATATGAATGAAACTTGAACAAAAAGTTATATTTTTGAAGGAATGACCGATAGACATACCTTTGTTATTATACACATCGAGGTAGTTGGGTGCTGAAAAAATTGTAATAAGCGATGGAAAGCCAGTGGCTTGACTTTTCCTGTACATGCGATACCTATAAAATGCAAATATAGCATTTAATAATGGAGATTACTTTACTACGCATCATACTGAGACCATTTCGGCTAGTTTTCGATTTCTTTTTGACTTTTTTTTGGATAAGCCTTTTAAAAAATCACTTTCATTTAAGTGTCTAGTCGTTCTAGCGCTTTTGCACTAATTGGGGACACTTTTAGCTCACACGCACTACCACTTCATTCAATATTCTATGCACACAATGCTCAACTCACATGTTGATTTTTATGGAGGGAGTAAACTGGAGATTCCGGAGAAAACCCTCGTAGCATAGGAGAGAACAACACATCAAACAGACTCAATTCACATGTGGCGATCGCAGAGCTCGAACCAGCGACCCGACCCGTTGGACTCACAGCAGTGAAAGACGACACGTTAGCCACGAACGCTACCCATGCTACCCAAATTGCGCTCTTAACCCCTAAAATCATGTTCAACCTCATCCAATAATTATTGCTAAATATTAGTTGAAGTTAAATCCTTTTTGGATTCTTACATTTTCTGATATTAAAGTGAAAGCCATCACAAAGAAGAAAAAATATTAAAAGAAAATGAAAACCAGAAAGAAAAACAAAAACAGTAGGACTTTGAAAAACACTTGAAGAACAAGAAGCTGTTGAGGAAAATGCCTCAAAGGACCTGTTATCTACTTGGCCATGTTTTTGRCTATGAATACTCCAGGGAATTGAATTGGTTATTTGAACTTTGGACACATTTTGTTYAAGTAAGCAGCATTAGCTTCAGGAAGGTAATGATCTCAAAGAGTCATGAAAAATCATGGAGAAAACTAAAGAAAAATGTTCAACTTTTCATTTTATGCCCTGTTTTACCCAGGTTTCAAAAAAAAAAACAGTTTTTTTTCCAAGTTTTATTGTCTAGCCTTTATTCGGATTTCCAATTTTTTAAGAAATAATGACTTAAAGTGAAAGCATTGGAAAATAAAAAAAGTTTTAATAGCAAATGAAAACCAAAAAGAAAGTAAAAAGAAAAAAGCAGGACTTTAAAAAATAATTTTTTTTTGAAAAAAATCTTGAACAAGAAAAAGCCGTTTGGAAACCCAACAAAAAAACCTGTTTTTCTCTGTTAGAAATAGCAGAGTCCATTATCTACTCTCACACGTTTTTGAATTTGAATGCCCCAGGGCAAGAAATATTCAAATTAAATGCAGTTCAATTTAATGTGAATGGCCTTCTCATTTCATAAGTGTGACTATCTCCATTATCAATGTTTGATCAACAAGCACCTCTTGAAGCAGCAGGGAATTCAAACTCTTTGAGATACTGATGTCTAGTCTAGTACTCAAGACRCTAAGCACTTTAGAAGAGTCATGTCTCGCAACCAGAAATACCATGTCTCTGTGATAAATTGGCCAAYATGTTATTCACCATTTTCCATTATATCAGTTCACTAGTCATACAGAAAACATTYKGTSGAGACTRCAAGGTTCAAATTTGAACAATCCTTTGAAAGTACCTTGTAGCCTTGAGTGATTGCTTTGTTAGCGACCATTGAAGTGATGTATGGATGGTAGTGAATTGAGGTTGATRGCTGACAAGTGGTTAATAGTGGTTTTGTAATAATTACCCAGCATCTTGTGCTTCRTGAGCTCTAATGACAGACAACAGATTGTTGTTTTGAAGGAATTCACATGTTGCGGGGTAGCTAAAGGAGAAAGATATAAAAGTCAATAATCACATTCAAAAAATATTCAACCATTCAAACAATCACGGTCAAAATAATGTCAACTAAATAATAATAAAATAAATGTCACATATCAATATTTTAAATATGATTTAAAAGTGGATATCATTTGTCATTAAAAACAACAATAATAAAAATTTTTTTTTCAAATTTCACATCAAAAGTTGTCAAGAATTGTCTTTGATGGATCTTCAATATTTTATTGAAACGGTGGTTGTCATTTTAGRCCACACAGCTTTTAAGTAAGCCAGGCTTTATACAGTTAACTGGAAAAGGAAATGCTACCAACATGTCTGGAAAAACTGGGGTCCCAAGAATGTTTTCATTGCAATATTGTTACTGCCATCATAAACACAGCCTTTGCTGTTCCAACATTTTGAAACCATCTTTTTATCCTTCTTCTTGTACTAATTGTGCTCCTAATCAACACATTCTCATTCATTATTTAATCGAAACAGTGGTTGTCATTTTAGACCACACAGTTTTCAAGAAAGCCAGGCTTTATATAGTTAGCTGGGTCTAATAAGARAATGGTACTAACATGTCTGGACAAACTGGGGTCCAGGAATTTTTTCATYGCAATATTGTTACATTATAAAYGCAGCCTTTGCTGTTSCAACATTTTGAAAGCAACTTTCATTCTTTTTCTTGCACTAATTGTTATGCTTATTGTGCTCCTAATTAACACATTCTCTGCTGTTCAAGACAAGCCCTTTAAGTCACTATTTGACATCATTAAAACTAAAAACCCTTGATAACATTTAAAAAGTGACCACCAGAGGGTTTTTACTAAATTTGAATTTCATTTTTCTTTTYTACTGACAAAATAAATATCACCTACTTCAAAGCTTATGATATAAGGTGTTTGCTCAAATACCAAAGAAATAAAGAAAGAAAAAGTAAGAAGGGAGAGAGGGAGAGAGAATAAAAGATACGCTAAAAGAAATAGAAAGAGAACAAGAGCAAGCAAGAAAAAGGAAGAAGAGAAAGAGATTGTAAAAGAAAAWATATATACTAAAAAGAGAGAAAAAAGACAAAAATGCTAAGACAAACAGACAGAGAGAAAATACAAAGAAAGGGAGAATGAAGAAGAAAAAAAGAAATACACACAAAGATGAAACACTTTCTTTCCCCTTCTTTAACACAAAGTGAAAGAAGGGGGAGAGAAACAAACAAACAAAAGCAAAGGAAGGGAGAAAAATGGAAAGGGAAAGAAAAAGAGAGAAATACATAAAAAGAAAGAGAGAAGAGTAAAAAGAAAGAGAGGAGAGTAAAAGAAAGAGAATGAAGTCAAAAGCACTACTGGATATTTCTTTACAAAATGGCTAACCTGTAAAAGTARGAGCACCCTCTAACAGTATTATGACTGAAGTGCTCAGATGTCTTCTCGTTTCCATAATCTTCCAACGGGTCCGACCAAAGAAGGTCACACATTGGCCCAAATGCAGGAGGTTCCTTTATACGGTCAAGCTGTAGAACAGAAAAGTACTCAAACTGTTACCTATTATTGATTTGCAACACAGAGTAGGATCAAACAGCTGCTTGATTTCATTAACAGCATACCTTATTTAAACACAAAATTAAGCATTATTGTTAAAATTAGAATAGGAAATAGGTGTGTTATAGAAAGTTAGTTCTGAAAAACTAACAAAAATCTTTTTTTAAATCATGCTCAAATGAATAATATCAAAACCTACTTAAAATCTCAAAAAAAAAAMAMAAAAAAAAACAATWAGTTAGCAGTGGGTAATGACTAAAAATGTCAGGTTGTGAGAAGAAGGAAATTGGTTAAATTTATAAACTAGTGTCCTTTGTGCCCTTGTAACAGAAATTCAAGAGGGAAACGTCTTGCTTAGAAATGACAAACTTCATTTGATATTGGTCTACAAATTATGTAAATCAACCAGATGGTTTGTGATTATAATCAGCTTTCCGGATTGGACACTCCCTCTAACAACCTATTTTGAATAAATTAGAAGCAAGACCAGAGGGTTTTACATTATATTAATATATGACAAGTGGTAAAAATACCAACTAAAAAATAAATAAATAAACTGAATTGATAGTGATAGAGTTTGAGATTCACATGTTAATTTAACAAAGTAGAATTATATATCAGTAGTAATAGATAATAGATAGTAATAGATAGCAATAGGAAGTARAAGATCATATCATTGACTTGTTTCTGCTTGGCTAACAATTTTTAATCTTGCATTACCAGTTCCGATTATACTTTTTAGGGAAGGGAACGAGAGCTAGGGAACTCTCAAGTCATGTCTAGACTAGAGCTAACCAAAAACTCAATGTTTTTACAGGCGAACCTTTAGCAAGTCAACTTGAGATTTACAAACCCTTAAAGGACTATGCAGGTGTGTAACTTTCTTTCATGCTTATTCAGACATTTACAAAACAATTACCAGCTTGGTATTTTTTAATTCTTTTTTTAAAAGAAATCTAGAAGATAAATCAAAGAACACTAGCATCTATCCCTCWAAGAGCTGCAATATGAAGTCAAGTTTATATCATAAACTATATTATTTTCCTAAATTACTGATATTAATAACTTATTTCATCATCAGGTTACAAGTTCTACACCTTTTACTTCAGTCTTTCACGCACTACAGTCACAACTGTTGTGGATTCTTGCAATTTTCATAAGACTTGTGACTTAGCCTGTAAATCTTTTAAGGTCTTAATCAAAAATATTCCAAACCAATAATTTATTTACTACTATATTTTATTTACTTAGTACCTATCATGAAAATGGTAATCTCTAATAAAAATATTAACCTCTTGACCTTTCATATTAAATGGGTTTGCCTTGTACATTAATAGGATTTATTTACAAAATTCCATTCAAAATACTAAAACGAAATCATATTTCAGAGTTAAGTAGTTCCAAAATAATTTACAGAAATTACTTGCATTCGTAGAATGTACTGCACTAGGCAAGATAACAAAATTTATCTTTTTAGTTTACTCCAGACATAAAGGTACTATCACTAGACAAAATACACCAAGTGTTTGGGTGCGAATGCTAAATCATTAATGGATTCTAATGCAWGCATATCCAGTAATCAACAGTGAAAGTTTGAAACATAAGTCATTTATCTCTAATGCAAACACATAACCATAAAGACCAACACCAGAAGTGGGAAATAAATTAAATTTCTTCAAAATGGAATATGAAAGATGAAGAAAAGGTGCTGCATGTCTAGAACAAACGGTCAACAAAAATGTTTGAACAGCAGGAGTACTGCATATGCTTTGTAATACTATTGCTAATGCTTTGATTATTAATTCAGTTTATTCTTATCATGCCTGGAAAAAAAAATTCATCATGAAAGAGGTATTGTTCACAAACAGTATGGCGGAATAAGGATGGCAGCAAAACAAAGACAACCAAGAGAAGAATAAGTTCTAACAGTCAAACCTGTTAATATCTTGGAAGATGAGAACAAATTATTGCACTGTGGGGTTGACAAGTAGTCCTACTTAAAGGAGTTTTAGAGCATAATTAACTAACCTTTTTAATATCATCTAAGGTGTGGATCTCAGGCGAAAGGCCTCCATGTACACAAAGGAATTGTTGGTTCATCAGAGCTGCCAGCGGTAGGCAGTCGAAAGAATCCATACAAGCATCGTAAACAGCCTCTGAGTACTTGATTTTGCCTGAAACCAAGAAAAATCTATTGATATAATAAATAGAGTGATTTTCATATGATCGTGAAAGAATAGGCAAACTAATAGTTAGTAGTAGACTCTAAACCAATGATTTTCTTTTGTTCTTTATCAACTATTACAAACTAAATGGTCTATTTTCTTTCACGGTCATATGAAAATCATTCTACTGCAAAGGAGTGTTACTATTAATTAAGAATTTATTTGGTGCTGGCGTAGACCCTTTGCAGTGTATTTTCAACACAATGCAATCTTAAAATGCAAAATAATTTCTTTACACTGTTGGGTGTCGATATTCATAATTATTTTTACCTCCAAATAATGCCTAACTGGGAATAGACATAAGGTATCTATAACATAACAGCAACGGAATGACTTTTGATAACCTTGTGTTTCAAAACTATATATGTATACTTTTGGGTACATATTCTTAATCAAATAAGAACTTTGCTGGAAATATTCGAAAAAATTGTGGTTGAAGCATTAGTGATAGATAATATGAATTAACAATTGATAATTTGTTTTGAGGTCGTGGATAATTTAACAAACAATATAACCTGTTTACATCTGTGGATTTTACATAACAAGACAAGAGAAGTCCTTCTGAGTTCAAAACTTGAATTCTATTCCTTGAAACAAGGAATACTACCAGTTATTTGGGAAGATAAGAAAACACAAACTAATGGTGTTTTGTGATGGTTTCATACTAGCTATTCATTTTAAAGAAATGTAAAATGACCCAACAAGGGTTATCAGTAGCCCATTTACTAACTCACACATCAAATTCGATCTGTCAAAATCGAAATATATAATACGATGTCCGAATAGATGCGTTCTTCATTTAAATTTGTCATCCAACCCCTTAAAAATTACTYATATATGTTGGAATAAAACATAAATTTACTGTATCAAGCTTAGAAATTAAATATAATTCGATCTGAATTTTCGAGTATAGATCAAATATAAAGATAATTTTTTTCTTGAAAGAAACCCATTTCTTTGATCAAGATTAAAAACATTTCACTCGGATATGGAAACTTTGACGTTTCGAGAGAATTAGAGACACAAAATGAATAGCTCTGATAAAGTTTTGCTTGAAATAAGAAAAGCATCTTTAAGTTTTACTTCAGCGATACATAAAAATTCATCACTCGATCGTTCAGAAGAAGAAAAAATTTCCTGATATTGTCAACATCACTATCAGTGGGAAATTGCGAGTTGAAATGTTGGAAATTATAATTGTTTAAATTGAATATTGATGTAAAACATAAGGAAACAAGGCTATTTGAATTTTTATTATTGCAATGTCGAGGACATGCAAATCTGAAGCAAAGTCTGAATAATTTATTCAAACTTCGACATATAGTTTATTCGCGTAGGATTTACATTACTATTTTCGAACCAGCAAACGCAAGCTGGAAATCTCATTTACCAAGAATAGCTCAAAAAGAATCAATAAAAGAATAAAATCTTCAACTATCATTTGTTGGAATTGTATTAAGGAAAAGCGCGATTATAAACTAAGTCATATATAAAGTGTAAATAAGCATATTTCAAGGCGTACCCCTCGAAAATAAATACAACCCAAACTGCCATGTAAACCAAACTAAAAACAAGAAAAATTTCTCGACTTACATTCGGTTTTAAAGGTGAAATATTCTGTTAGATGTCTGCATTCGTGGTTGCCTCGTAGAAGGAATAAAGTGTTGCTGTAGAGGAGTTTCAATGCCCATAAATACAAAACACACTGCAAGGAAAATTCAGAAGGGAAAGACGCAGTGAGAAAAGRTGAATATGATTTCCTAACAATAGCTCGTTGAACGGAAAATCCTTTCACTCCCGTCCAAAAAAAGGGAGGAAAATCCGTTTACGAGGAAAGAACTTGTCAGCTTTTGCCAGAATTTTTTTCCCGTGTTAACCCGTTAATCAACAGCAATTGCGGAATTTGCCTACCAAGATGAACTCGTACACGCAGTCATGAAAAAGCAAATTTATAAACGAAGACGCGATTATCATACTCACCTCGATCGAGAAATATCCTCTGTCTACGTAGTCTCCAAGAAAAAGGTACCTCGTAGTTTGAGGGGAGCCACCAACCTCAAACAGTTTTACTAAGTCGTAAAATTGGCCGTGAATATCGCCACATACTATAAATATAAAGAACAAATAGACGCTAGTACATCTATACTAGTACGTCCCTCACTCACTGAGCACAGAGATCTCTCATTTGAGACCTGCAAAATAAACMGAGCTTGAGCTTTCGAGGTACCTGTAATAGGTGCATCCACTTCTAACATATTCTTTTCTTTGCGTAAAAGTTCGGTTCCTTCGTTTATAATTCTCAGAGCTACTTCTTCCTCTACTCTTCCCTCAAGAATAAAGTGAGCTTTTAGTACATCTGGTCGGGGTTTTCCGTTGGAATCGAAAACATCTTTCAATGTGAGCCGATGCACTGGCGGTGTAGGGACATCTTAAGTTTAGAAAGAAAAAAGAATGGTTAATACTATGCCATCACAACCAATACTTTGCTGAACAACTTTTTCGCCATAACCGGCAGGTATCCGTTGTAAATCTCGGATGGTTCTACTAACTTTTAAGTACTCTTTCCGTCGTCGAAAGTTTTCCATCCTGAGCCGCCATTGTCCCTGGACCTTTAAAAAAATATCAAGAGATAGAGGACGGCCGTCGATATTCAATCGACCTCGATGGAAACGGATTTTTACAGGACGAAACCCTTCCTCTCAGCTTTCTCTGCACCAAGTTCTAAACAACATAAACAACCAAGCAGAAAGGAGCGAAGAGAGTGTAGTGCGCATGCTCAATGACCCGACCTCGATTCGGAGTTGCACTTGTTCTGCATACATCAACTATATATAAAACACACATTAAAAAGAATAAAATAAAAAAATAAAAAAAGATAGTCACACTTTTGCAAAGTAATAAAATAAAAATAGAAACATTATTTTATCTGCGAGGCTCTAGTGTTTTTTATTGAGGCTTAATATACGCACTAGGGGGRAATCTATCGGGTTTTAGCAAAAGGGGTTTGGATTATTCTTTGCAGTAAAATATCGGCATCAAACTTGAAAATGGTCCGATATTTTAGTCCCCGAAGCATCAAATAGACCAAACTACTCACGCGTCTTCCATCCGCTTGGAAACTAACACCCCGCTGCTTTTTAAAAACGATTAAACTTGAATTTTTTCCGACGGAAACAGGAAAGTTAGTGAAAAACTCTTCGAAGAATGATACTATATTTGAATACAAATTAAAGCAAATTCGTCCCGCCAAAAAACTAGAAGAAATACCGAACAAACAGAAGAGAAAATAGCTGAAGAGTATCACTTAGTGCTAGATATGTTTTTGACTCCTGACTTTTTTCTGAACGCTATAAGTTATAGTTTTAATTTAATCAATTTGACGCCGCGTGAGTTTGGCGGGAAGGGATTACAGCATTTGGCTAATTGACAAAGACACAATTGAACGCTTTTTCTCAACCAGCCCTTTTTGCCACCATGATTCTATCAAAGTTAGCCACGAATACTGCAGTTTTAATTTTAGACTATTGAATTATTAATGAAATGGTATATTAGTGGCCAAAAGTGACAGTTTTAGATTGGCTGTACATAAATGAAAGATCGTTTTTTCGAGTGCATTTCTCTCCTAAGTATTTGGTACTATCGTGCGAATACAAGAAAACTCTTCTAGGCGTAGCAAAGTCACGATATTTAACGAAGCATTATGAAACGTAGCTCTACTAACAACAGTGCGGTAACTAGTACCGTCGTAAATCAAATAATATGACGTCGATTTAGCCAAATGTCTTTAAAATTATTTGCCGGCACGAATCTTGCTCTAAGCTTTAGTTTCAAAACGTTAAAAAAATCTTTATTACCAAGCTGCATGAGGGCGTGCCTGCGCGCMTCAGCCAGTTACTTGTAGCACGGATTGGCATAGCGCGGGTCGGACCTAAGTGACCATCTTATAAGTACGCGTAACTGGTCGCCCTTGAGGGTAGAGCTTAATACTCGAATAAGACTCTCATAAAAGAAACATTAGGTTGTACTCATTATGTATCAACCCTAAAACAGCAGGTGTTTTTAGGTCTTTTTTTCCAATCTTACAACTTCCGCCTTTTCCTCTCCCGCCAATATTAAAATACTGAGCTAATCATGTCTAAATCTCCCTCTGAGAAATGGTTTTGTAATTTTCCAGAGTGTAAGTGTCGGAAGAGTTCTAAGTTTCCTCTTTTATCGATTTTTTGGTAAATGCACTCAAACCACCCAGGCCAAAAACAAAAAAACAAAAAAAACTTTTAAATCTTGAAATCGTTACGAAAAAATTCTTGAGAGATTGAGTTACTGACTCCATTCAATTTCTMCAAGAGCAGGTCAAATTCATCTCGAACAAGTAGTAAAGGCAAGGCTCGTGATTCTTTTCAAATGGGTTCCACGACTTTGAAACTCAAATGGCATGCGCGAGTGCACGACTGTTACGCTTGAACACAGCTCAAATGTCTGTTCAGGAGATGGTGTATCACGTTAGGCCCTGACTAAACGAGGAAACAAGTTTCCATGCAGAAACATGTTTCCCRCGCGCATGTTCCYCGAAGATTCCAAGTTTAGCCACATGYGAAACATTGCTACGTGCAAAAAAATTCGCTTCCAAGACGCAAAAATGTTTCTGCTGTGCGGCAGAAACATTTCATGCTTCCAAGACGCATGGAAACAATGTTTCCCAATGTTTCCTCGTTTAGCCACRAAAGTCAACATTCTAAAAGTTCGTTACTTAGCAACACTATCTCTATCTTGAAAATGCGCATGCGCTAACCAATATTGAGTAAACATGTTTCCTGATGTTCCTTGACAGTTTTGCCACCTTTAGAAACATTTAAGAAAACATGATTCTGGGAACATGTTTCCTCGTTTAGCCAGGGCATTAGCTGGGTAAAACGAATATCACAAATGAGATAAATATTAAATTATCTTTTGCATTACATTGTGACAAATTCTTTTTTAAACAACAACAAAAAGAAATAATGCATCTTCTCTTGCCATTTTCCTTCACTCGCTGCAGGAATTTTTCTCCGTTCCTTTTCTTCCTCTTCCTYTTACTCTTAACCCCTAGTCAGTACTTATTAAATCTGAAAACACACAGAATTTYCAATTTTATATCCTCTTTTGTTGACATCTAATTTAGTTCCTCCCTTGAATTATGACCTACTCGACCATTTTTCTACCTCACAGCCCGATCCTTTTCCCTCCAGGATCAGTGTGCGCCTCGATCGCGTGTRTTCGAATGTCTAACACCTGGGAGTAAAACGTAACACTCTCGTCATTAAAAACAGATTTCATTCCATGACATGCCTATCTAATGAGCCTAGAATTGCTTCATAATCTTCCAGCAATTAATGTCTATGTAAAATTAGGTCAAATGCCTCACGGGAATCGCCCAAGGGGACCCCACAAAGGCATAATAATCTCTAATCTTAATTTTTGCTATTACTTCGCTATTACTAAATTTTACCATTAATACGCTCATTTTGCAAACTGAAGACTGTGATGAAAGATCATAAAACATAAAACCTGTTTCATAATGAGKTCTGCAAAATCTACTCAGTATCAGCTACTTGCATAAGGTGCGCACTAAAAATAATGTGCGTAAGGCTCCATATAAYTAAAAGTGTAGAAATTCGATTATAAAAACGATTTGAAAATTATAACTGTGATTCCCGAGTCGTAATAAACTTTGCTTTATTTAAACCTTATGTTAAAAAAAATTTTTCTACTTTGGAAAAATGACAAAAATGACCGGCATTACCCTAACCCTAACCCTAACCCTAGCAGGGAAGACCTAACCCTAACCCTAGCAACCTAACCCTTGCTTATACATATCCTAACTAACCAATAAAACTCTAAAAGGTAACTTCAGTGTGTCTGCTACGTCAAATGGAACCTCTACCCACCCCTCCCTTGTGCTGTATCACCAGTCCTTTTTCACGCCGCAGTCAGAGAAAACACTTGTATTCTGTTATTCAGTGTGTCTGCTACGTCAAATGGAACCTCTACCTACCCCTCCCTTGTGCTATATCACCAGTTCTTTTTCACACCGCAGTCAGAGAAAACACCTGTATTCTGTTATTCAGTGTCTGCTACGTCAAATGGAACCTCCACCCACCCCTCCCTTGTGCTATATCACCAGTTCTTTTTCACACCGCAGTCAGAGAAAACACCTGTATTCTGTTATTCAGTGTGTCTGCTACGTAAAGATGGCCAGYGTCGTCCACAGCGACCCCAGCAGGGAATCTCATTAGCCCGTTACCAGTCCCCTTCCCTCCAAACAGAGTAACAAAAGTCCCATCAGGCTGAAAGATCTGCACCCTATGGTTACTGCGATCCGCCACGATRAACTGCCCCTCCCCATCCACGACGATACCTGCTGGGTTATTCAGCTCCCCATCACCRCTCCCACGGGAACCAAAATGGTAGCTCAGAGAGCCATCTTTGTTGAACACAAATACTTTATGATAATTGTAATCAGTGACCGCAATTTGTCCTTTTTGAGTTAAAGCCACGCCCCATGGACGACTCAGATACTTGGATTCCAATTTCCCCAGTAGGTCCCCCAACGGAGAAAACATTTGCACTCGACCGTTCCCGGAGTCAGCGACATAGATCGTGTCATCGGAATCTATAGCTATACCATGAGGGTGGTTTAGTAAGCCATCGTCGGTTCCGGAGCTTCCGAAGCTGTTACGAAAGTTTCCCGAGTAGTCGAGAACCTGGATTCTATTGTTGTGGCTGTCGGAAACGAAGAGTAGATTCTTTCGTGTATTCAAGGCGACACAGAAGGGGAAGTTGAAATGTCTTTCAAGAGTTCCTTGGGTTCCAATATTTCTAATGAGCGCGCCATCAGAGCTAAGGATTTTGATCTGATGATGATGTGAATCAGCAACGATAATGTCGTTGTTCTTGGCTGTTAATACACAATGAGGACTTGAGAATCCACCATAGTTCTCGCCACTGAGGATGCACCCACTACCGATCCAGTCACTCGGGGTAACAGTGACACCCAAAGGGCTTCCTTGTACTGGGTGTCCATTGATTGACACATGCATGTGGTATGCACCTGGCTTGTTGATAAGAAAAGCGATAGTATATTGACCATCATTATTATCATGTACATTATACTTAAACCCCAGGTTATCGACATTCAAATGGGAAGAATTTGAAAAATCAAGCTGTGCAGATATTACGTCTCCACCATTAGTCTGCCGAAAGCCTCTCTGATTGAACGCCGTGACCATAAAGCGTGACACTTGTCCTACCGTTACCTGTAACGCACTCTCAGTYACGGTACTTAGTGCTGSATCGGTGGGTAGACATGCATCTTCTAGCCCACCCAAAGAACTGACTATTTCAAGCAAGTCATCGACGCCATCCGCTACGAAGCAAAGGTTTTGATCACAAGGAATAACAAGAGAAGGACATGCCTCTTTCTGAAACTCCGCCAGTCGTTTTACAATCACGTGACTTACACTGATTAACTCAACATCTGTACCACGTGACACCGCCCTCTCTGTAAACGCGCAGCAGTTTTGCGCAACTTTTAAAGTGACTTCTAGCTTTAATTTCTGGTCCTGAAGCTTGTTTAGTTGTCCGTGGATTCTTTCTTTTAGTTCTGCTAAGAGTGTTTTCATGCGCTGACGTACTGCCATTAGAAGTGTTTCAAAGTACTCTTCGATTGCACTTCGAATCTTACTGGAATGCTTTTCTATCTTGGTGATAGCTTCTTGTAACGAAGAGACGGACTTCTGCATTTTTTTGCGCTTTTTCTTGATCTTATCCGTCATGTTTGTGATATTAAGCTTGAGTTCTTTATACGCTTCTTCTGGTCGCTGTAGTTTGTGTTCTCGATGCCCAGCAAGGACGCATTCACGACACACAGCTACCTGACAAGTCTTACAGAAGTAGAGAATTTGTTTCTTAAAGTGTATTGCACAGAAGCAAGGTCTAGGGACAACGTAAGAAGAATTATTCGATTTGGTTCGCATTTCTTGAACCGAGGTGATGTGATGCGCTCTCGTGGCACTCATTCGACGATGCGCAATAGCGCAGAAGTTACAAAGAAATAAATAGCAGTCGTCACAATRCATAGTGACTCTTTCATCCTTGGAGTCACAGCTGTCGCATCGTACAAAGTTTTGCGGGCTACCTGTCTCTAAAGCAGCCTCATTAGCTAAATTATTCAGTACAAAATTCACCGGAAAATCTCTTTGTAGATCAAGTGGCTCCAAACATGTTGGACAGCGAGCCGTCTTTCCGTTTTTGGGAAGAACCCTTTCATCATCTAAACAAGATTTGCAGATGGAATGAAGACATGGTAGAAGTAATGGCGACACGAAACGCTTCTTGCAACTTGGACACAACAGGTGAGAATCGATTCTTGAAGTCAAATCAGTGACTAATTCTTCTGCAAATGTCACTTGTTTTTGTTGCTTTGCCATCTTCACAAATAAAATATACGATCAAACGAAATGCAAAATCAAATCAGTATCTTCATGGTGTACAATCGTTTTCTGATAAACCATCAATCGTTTACTATTGAAATTGCTTTTTTCCTAATATTTCCAGCGATCGAGGTTTAAATCTTTTAACTTCAGGTCTTGCAGCATAAACGATTTGTAGCCGTTTGTGTTTGTGCACTAACAAAAATTTGTTTTCTTTGGCGCTTGCGACTCGTTTTTTTACCACTATGTCTCCGTTCTCCTCCAAAATAATAACTGAACTTTAGCTTTCCTCAATGTAGTAGACTAAGACCCTGGTGTCGTTCTTCGCTATTAATGTCTGCTCAAAAATTCAATATTTCGTCTTGTTTAACGAAGACTGGAMACATGGAATTCACTGCTAGACGAATTTATAAGCTTGTTGTCTTATTAATATTCTTTTATCGAATGAAGTTTAGCTGTCTATTGTGACGGAAGAATTATAACAAAATCTTGGAGCGGATGTGACTCAATTCAAAGAAATGCTGTTCAAAGAACTGGTTACATACAAAACGACAAATATCACTTTATTTTTCTCTACTTTGTTATTCTCTGGTATTTTTCAGTTTTTCAGTTTTTTTCGTGTTTTAAAAACGGTTTTATAGGAGTTATGTATGTGTGTATGTTTACAGACAAAAGTTTATTAAATCGATCATTTTGTAATCAAAATTACATGTTTATATTTAAGTGGATACTCTAGAAACGGTTTTCCTTTCTCTAATTCGCTAACATACACCCACTCTTGTTCAATTTTCTAAACATTTTCAGCTTTGCTCCAAAAATGGTGAAAAATCCATCTTTAATTTTCTAAGCGAATTCTAAATTGAAATGGTTTCGTTGCTACGTAATCTCTATTTAATCCACGCATTCAAAAATCAATCGCTTGTGAGTTAATTACAATGTACACCATTGATCAAGGGTTATTACTTATTCAGGGTAGGATTAAAGGCAATTTGTTCGTGCCAATCATGTGTACAGTCTTCTGTTAAATTAATTACTAAATATGAATGAAATAAGTTTGAACATAGGGATATAAAAGTCTTCAGTAAGTATTCATTAACATGACAGTTTTGTAGTGTTGTGGACGGTTGCTTGCATGGGAAAATTTTTTATTTAATCAAACAAAAACTGAAACCCATGTTTTGCCTTCGTGACAATGTTTTATTATTATTTTGCAGACCACGCATGTAATTCTCTTGAGAATAAGATTCTTTGTTTCAGTTGCATCCATATTCATGTGTCTTCTCTTGCCCAACCGTTAAAGCAAGGAATTATACTCCAGAGAATGACACTTTTTTTGGTCTGTTGGTTCATTTTCGCRCGGTTTTCTTTCACTGACGTTTTCAGGAAAACGAATGGAATTTTTGGCTATCTTTTATGATATTTTCAAACAGGGAAAAAATAAACATCATTTTTATGTTTTTATGATTTTCTTTTTCATTCCAGGTGCCACGAATCCCCCACGTCCCCAGCGTTACTGAAAAAGAAGCAAT